ATAAATTGCATTGGCCTAGCGGCAGCTATAAAAGTTACACCAAGGTGAAAATCAACTTGTCTTTTACTCAAGGGCTTGCTGTATTAGGGAGTTTCTGGTACTCATTTTGAAGTTATTAATAACATAGACCACATCCTACATCTTCCATGGAATTCTCTCGAGGTTGAAACATGTCACTGACCCAAAATGACCCAGATCATCCTCTTGTTTGGAACATACCGCCTAGCGTAATTAGTGACGCTTATTCAAGTGCAAAAATCAAAGCAGTCTTGTATTTTTGTCACCATGACCTTCTAAAGGTCAAACAAGGCCACCGACCTTCTATGAGCATCAGCCACCTTTTTCTTAGAACAGGTATCTAGGTTTATATCGGTTGTATGAGAAGGTCTGGGGGCACTTTCAACACCAGTCTGGAGTTTGACCTTGTTTGACTTTATTTAACCAGAAGATCATGACCTAGGAACCTCAGGTTTTTACGCAAATAAGTTCACATACAGGCCAACACACCTTGCGAGTCTAATGTCTTTAGCTTCCTTCGTTTTTTTTTTCATTTTTAGGAGGTCAAGGACTCCCACCTGAGCAAAGGGTATTCAATTTGTTACCCGGGCGGGCATTAATATAAATGTCATTAGGAAAGAGTGACAGGAAATGCATTTCTTGAACAGGAGAGCAGATTACGATGCGCTTTCCCCCCCCCCCCCTCCCCCCTAATATTTGTTCAAGGACACCCCTTCGGCGTATCGTGCAATCACGCGCCAGTTTTTGGTCGCCCCTGAAACGTTTGTTGTGTGTGTTTCGACACAAAAACGTATGCTTTGCACGCCTGGTTTTCAAGTAGCGGTGCTTCGCTAGAAACACTGTACAGCGATCTACGTCGACTCAGGCGGCGGACGGCAACAGAAATCACGAGGCCCCGAATCAAGCCGTTGAAATGTGTGTGTGTGTGTGTGTGTGTGTGTGTTGTGTGTGTGTGTGTGTGTGTGTGTGTGTGTGTGTGTGTGTGTGTGTGTGTGTGTGTGTGTGTGTGTGTGTGTGGTGTGTGTGTGCCGATAAACCTTCCAAATGTTTCAGTGACCGACGCCCAATAGGTCTCCGTCGGCGATTGGCGGAGAATCCCCGATCTTGTCCAGACTGTTGATAGCTAAAATCATTTTAAAAGTCTCTCAGTCACTAAAGACTCGAGTCAGAGACCGCTCAGAGTCGGAAAGCCGCGTCACGTAGCCAATAGCTCCAACTAGAGCATCATAAAGTTCATTTCGTCTTGCGCCAACGTCTGCAATGTGTTTGTTTCGTCGCGGGACGCAACAGACTCACTTATGGTCTCGATCGAAGCGTTCTGTGTATCATTTCACTAAAAACGAACGCCTCGGTACAGTGTGCGCTGACAAGGAGACGCATCTGGTGACATAGTTCAATGTCGCTGAGGATGCAAAAGTGCACCGGAGGGGAGCGCTGAAGTTGACGGACATTAGCAAATGTTACGTAATGGGGAAATATGCAATCTTTAGGGCTCCAGCATATGGATCATTGGTGCTCGAATCAAATGAATACCTTTATTCCCACAAAATATTCCGAAGGTCCTGTAAATGAACCAAGCGTGCGATTGTATGATTAAGGTAAATTCCTTCTGGAAAAAAAATGGGAAAACCGCTCCGAGAACACCAGGCATGCCAAATTTCTGACCTCATCAGTGTTCCGGCGCGACCTTGAGTTTCACGACTTCTTGCTGCGGGGAGACCGGAAAGGCCGCCCGAACATCGCCTCACTGGCAGCCACGCTGATCGGCACTGACGACCAAGCGGGGCAGAGCAGGGCACCGCGAGCCTGCCGCAGCCCCCGCGCTCTCACCATTACTTATTGAGGCGTCCGGCGCTGGCCACGAGGGGTGGTGTACCCCGAGGCAGGATCTGCAGAATGTAGTCCAGTGACGTGTGTTTGGTCTCCTGCAATCCCATGGTGTCATGGAAAGGTCTGTGTTTGCGAGTTGTCGCTTCTAAGGCTGACTATGCGTATTAAATGACACAAAAATGATTTGGAGCCAATGTTTTGATGACTAAGGCGCCATACATGAGCGGAGGGCTGTGTCCTTTTAAGAGGCTTTGCCAAAACTTCCCAAAACACGCTAAAAGCCGAAGTCACCGAAAGATCATGTTTTCATCCCCAACCACGCTATAGGAAATCTTGGGCAATTCTGGCTCGGGCACCACAGGGCAGCTGGGTCTGTTAATCTCCCTGAAAAGTTGGTATGTGTCTTCTCGTTGCATTCGTCCCTCCAATCAAAAGCAGGATTGCTTTCAAGCCGACCGTTTTCAAATCACAACAAATCCCAAACATACGAAATATCGCCACTTTGCAATCTATCCCCAGGCGTAACGGCGTGGGCCGAAATGCCACCATATTGCAAGTAACATTACGTCGTTTCTATTGACCTGCTATAGGATCCGAACTGACACCAATTTTTTGGAATTATTGTAGTTCAAAGAGCAGGTTCTTGGAGAAAAGAGACACTAATAAGGCATGTCTACATACCTAAAGAGCTGAAATGTTTGTAGATCGACCATATGTGCCCTCACTCTGATCCGCCGTTTTTCATAACAAGGGCTGATAAAGATGGAGGGGTTGATGTCCCCCTGCCGTTCCCAATCTAAGAGAAGTAGGGCTCAATGAAAAACACCTGTAGATTGTTCTCAGTGCGGTCTCGCGATTGGTAGTTAATTGCATGAGAGAAGATTAGTATTTGACCCTACTATGCCATGCCAAAGGCCATGTTTTCCTTTAAGTCAAACTTTTTACATGCTCATACGCACGCGACTATGCCTTACTGCGACACGAAACCTAAACAGGCATAATCCGTATTTAGTTTAGTACAAATTGAATAGCGTGATGTGTTTTAAGCACATGTTAATGATACATGACTTCGGTAATGCAACAATGTTGGCCCACCGCGCGTGTTCCGCAGCATCGTCGGTCGCCGTCCGCCTCCCACGCCGGCCGTAGATCGCCGTGCAGTGTTCCTCAAAAATCACCGTTGCCCCAGAACCAGAAAAGCTAAGAGCATGCCTTGGTGTCAACGCGTGCCATAAATACCCCGTAGGTTACAAAAACGTCACGATTACACGACGTGGTGGCGAGGTATCCTCGGAAAGTCTTAGGGGTGGGGGTCGCATCGCCTCCCCCCCGCACTCCCACCCCATCCGCTATCAGGACAAGGGTTAAAGGGAATGTTCCACATCTAAAAATATTTAGGCAACCACCAGATATGATGAAACAAACTCCCTTTCAAGGGAATGTGTCCAGTTAAGTTAGGATTTTTGACTGTGCACGTAGGATGGAAGGGAATTTTTATTTACAAATTTTGATGTCATTGGTTTCTACAAAGTCGCCTCCACTGACGAGATATTGCCACAGCCCCCAAATTCTCTTTGGTTTTTATGAAAGAATCAATTAATCGCGTAGCCTCCAAGTAATATTCTCTACTAAATACGTCGACATCGTTGCGAAGGTATGGTTAGCTGTAGCCAAAGGCTTTTTCGAGGATGTCGCTTGTCAGCGCTGACAGCAGCTTGCGAACGCGGCGATGGCGGTGGCCATTATGCTGATGTTTTTTGTTTACATTGAGCACCATGCACCAGCCTCTAGGGAAATGCGATTGTTCTACGTTACCTAGCAACCAAAATAATGTTCATCTCCCTAGCGCGCAGGTCCGTAATTATATTTTTTCTTACTTGCATTCACATACCTGTCCATGGGTCATTTCTGAAGTTATTTGATTCTCTTTCTCGTCTCATTTCTGTCATAATAGTATCACTGCACAAATTACGTGTTATTATAGGGCACAAACTTGATTCGTGCTCAAATTTTTTGATCAGCAAATTTAACCCGTTGTTCGGGCCACTGCTGTCCGCTGATGTCTCGAATCGTGCCGACGCACGCCAGGCATAAATAATTCGGCGATCATAATTTGATGACCTTGAGCACCCCATGGCCATTCAAAATGCGGGATTTGTGTGACAATTCTATGGCATCATATACACCTGGACGATCTTCAAACAGACCGCGCGAAAGCAGTTCTGACGATAATCTCTTTTATCCTGAATAAAGGTGACACTATCCGAACATTTCTGGCAGGGCGGACGTGATAGGCGCTCACATAATCTTAAAAGCAGCGGCAGTCAGTATTCACGGCACGCTTGTGGAGCCGAAACATCCAGCGCTCAGCAGATGCTATGAAGAAGAGCGACCGGTAACTGCCAGCATGTCTATGGGAACGAAAGTGGTCAAAGTTGAAGGTGGAAAGTGGAAAGTGGAAAGTGGTCAGAGTCAACAGGTCAGACAGAGAAGGGGAGAGTACTTACAATATGCCTACGGAACGAGAGCGGGGTCAGTGGTCTACATGTCCGCAGAGAGGGGGCCGGTCAGCACTTACAACGTATTGCGGAGGGCGGGGGTGGACTGGACAGTGCCTGCGGACTGGGGTTGACAGTGCGCGCAGTATGTCTGCGGAGCGGGGCCGGTCAGCACTTACGTGTCTGCAGAGCGAGGCGGTCAGAGCGCTTACGTGTTCTGTAGAGCGGGCCGGTCAGCACTTACGTGTCTGCGGAGCGGGGCCGGTCAGCACTTACGTGTCTGCAGAGCGGGGCGGTCAGCGCTTACGTGTCTGCAGAGCGGGGCCGGTCAGCACTTACGTGTCTGCAGAGCGGGGCGGTCAGCGCTTACGTGTCTGCAGAGCGGGCCGGTCAGCACTTACGTGTCTGCAGAGCGGGGCGGTCAGCGCATACGTGTCTGCAGAGCGGGGCGGTCAGCGCTTACGTGTCTGCAGAGCGGGGCGGTCAGCGCTGACGTGTCTGCAGAGCGGGGCGGTCAGCGCTTACGTGTCTGCAGAGCGGGGCGGTCAGCGCTTACGTGTCTGCAGAGCGGGGCGGGTCAGCGCTTACGTGTCTGCAGAGCGGGGCGGTCAGCACTTACAACATTTCTGCGGAGCGGGGCCGGTCAGCACTTACAACATGTCTGCGGAGCGGGAGTGGCCTGCGGGCTGCGGCGGACGAGCAGCTGCGCCCGGCCGTCTCCGCTACATCCCCGCCGTGCGCCGGGCACGACCACAGCACAGCACGGCACGGCGCGGCACGGCAGGGCAGGGCTACTGCGGTGGCGCGGCCGCAGCGCCGTGCGTCACCGGCGACACCCGTCGCCAGGGCGCCCGAAGTCGTAACCGGAGCCCCAGCCCAGCTACAGCCAAACACAGGCGTAGGACGCGGCCGGCCGCCGCGCGACCCGCGTGGCAGGCTGCGCCGCCCGCTGCTCGGCGTACTTCTGTTCAGCAGATTGCTAAATGTGTCGGTAGCCCGGTCGAAGCTTCAAGTGATGGGCGAAGAGTGTGACGAACAGGTCTGCGAGTAACACACGGTCAATTTTTGTCGCGTTCAGTTTTGTTCTTGCGCTGAGCTTATTCATTTCCTGATTTGTTGTCAGCTTTTGGTAAACCCGCACCGAACTTGTACCCAGCGCTAAATCACGATCGCCTGGGGCCAGCGGATGATCGAAAAACATACAAACGACAATGGAGAGGGGATGGGGTTTTGCGAACCATACTTTGCTAGCAAGAAAGAACAAGCCAGCAGGGAATGAGGCAGTCAACACCATGCGGTGGTCGTGAGCAGCGGCTCTCGGCGCCCGGTGCAATCCAGCGCCAAGCCGAGCGTGGTCCGGTCCGCAGCACGCACCTCTACAAGGGACGGACGCACCGTGGGGCGACTCACTTGACCTCAGGTCGGGGTGTCGGACGCCGCCGGGCGGCGTGCTCGTATACCCGAGGACCTAGACGACTAAGGTCTCACTGCTTCAGGCCGTGTAGTCCCGTTCCTTCTCCAGGTAGCCGAGAGAAAGAGCGTCTGACGGTGGTAGGCGGTGAACACCGCTCCTGTCCCAGAGCGCCCGCAGGACGAGCACCTGACGCCGTTGCCGGCAGCAGCACGAGGAGCAGCACGTTCAGCCGCGGCTTCACTTGGCACCTGACCCGCCCCCGTCCGATATCAACCCGAGGCGACAGCTCATACGTCACTATGGCGAGGTTGGCCTGGAAGTCGGCTGGTTCTTCAGCTGTGATCTGGCCGGGAGACCCAGATGGCGCCGGGGAGGCGGTCCGGAAGTCCGCCCCGATTAACGGGGGGACTCGAGCCTTGGTCCGTCTGCTGGAGACGGCCGGCATGTCCGTACGCCACCCTCATCCACGGCCTGCACGCTGGCTCACGTCCACGACAGCCAAGCATGAAAAAGGGTTGCGATGGCGGGATGCTGATGAAAGCACTCGCCTACACCGGCGTTTTCCAAAATGATTTCAAATAATCACCACGCGACTGTACTCGACCGCTATACGAATGTGAGCGGCGATACCTGGCAGTTCAGCTGCAGTTCTAAAAACGGTTTATCTGAGTCTGAGTCAGTCCACATATCTAAACACATCTCTAACTGCGACCACTTCGGTCTCTGCGGCGACTTCGAAAGACGTAGCTTCAAGTTGCTGCAAAACTTCCATAACCGGTGTCAAGCCACTGATTAGTGGTCAGCTGATCAGTGATGATCAGATTAGTGATCAGCTGTGTCGGGTTTACGCAACCAATGCCCGTCTTTCTCCTGATTTTCCCAGTTCGCTTTTGCCGACGGATTTTCTATCGACGGACTTAATTGCGGGACAGACCTGCGGTCAATGGACGTGCTGTCGATGGTTAGGACTGAACTGGCACGCAAAATGTGCGCGCTAAGTTTATAGATGTAGTCACTAGTGGATACCTGACGGATTTTGCATGGAAATGTGGCGCAACGCGTGGTTCGAGTTGCACTGGTTCCGAGGTTTGTCTGCTCCCACGCTTTGCTGCCTGCTGAATGGATTATGACCACGGGCGTGGGGTATCAACTCCCAAGTAGCACGGCTTCTGAACACGTGGTCAGCCTCTTCATTGGTGGGTGAGGTGATCGTCCTAGCTCTGGTCGTGCGCTTGATTCCCACCAGCACTACGCTGGCCGGGTCCTGTGAAATGAGCCAGCACGTCCCCAGCCTGATCGGAGAGGGAGCCGAGACCTGTCGTTGGAGGCTGAATCGGAAAGACCCGAGCTCGGCGGGGAGGCAGCCCTTGCGCAGAGGTCGGTACAGCGCCATCTGCACACCCTGGCCGACGTGCCGTTGTTCCAATCGCGACGCTCCACCTTCCTCAGCATTTCGTCCAGGGGCGACGCCACATATTTTGAGTTGGGGGCGCCGGGGTTAGGGGGTGGGATTTTCCACCGGGCCTTCGAGACAAAATGGGGCCTTCTCACAGGGGTTCTCCTGAGCGGTGTAGTAAGCGAGGGCAGTAGCAGAGGGCATGCACCCTCTTGTGAACTTGGTCATGCATGTATTCAAGTAGATAAATGTCGATCATTAGAAAACACCAGTGTGTGAACCCTCTAAATATCCAGCAAAGGGTCTCACTGTATTAAAAACATGGTCATCGGTTACAAAGAAAGAATCCTGTTGCAAAGAGGGAATTCCTTATCCAGAACAGGATTATTCCGATTCATGAAGGACCTTCAAATCTCGCAAAGTGGCCTCATTATCCCACAACAGGTCACCCTGATCTGGAACCTTGGCCATCTGATGCATGAAAGGGACCTTCTGAATATAGAGGGTGCCTCCCAACCCAGAGCAGGGCTTCCTAGCTCGCAACAGCAGCCTCTCAAGCCAGCAAATGGGCCTCCTGAGCATATCATTGGGTCTACGAAATTATCTGGAGTATTGGTCGCCTTTTTCATAAATGTGACCTCATGATAAAAACGGCCCTCTTGATGTAGAAATGAACCCGATTTGTTGCTGCCTGGCTCAGCTATGGAGCACCTTTGATCTGGGGCCTGGGATTTACGTGTATCTACAATGTCTTTAGTTTGGGAAAAAAGGAGCCTCCCAAAAATTTTGAGACTGCAAAAGCATTCTACTACCTCCCCCCTGCCGGTGGGTGGAGGGGCAACTGCCCGCCTCCTCCCGCCTTCTCATACTGCGCCACCCCTGATTTTGCCGCCATCTTGACCTACATAATCGTGACGTTACAGTTCCACGTAATAAGTTCCAAGTTCCGCGATGGCTTATTTGGAATAAGAAACATTCACCGGAAACGTGTTAAATGCTGCGATGCTTCGGCACCATGGCATAAACCGACCTGCATTCTGGCGGATGTTTCAACAAAATCTTGTGTTGCCTATTAACCAGTTCAAGCAGAAGTCAGCATGGCCATGTACGGTAGGCCGGCCAGACGCAATAGTTATGGCGCCAGTTTCGGAAAGGCTAAACTGCCTAAGTTACGCAATGCGGCCGTGTGAAATATCAGTGTTTTTGTGCGAGTGCTACCTAGTGCAATGGAGAGGCAAGGGCGGTGCACAATCATTGTGCACGTCATCACGCACTCAAAGACGGTTATCTAATATAGACAAGATAGCAACTGACTGTCCATCCTAGCAATGTAGATTATCAGAGCGTTGCTTTCCTTTACTCCCAGTGTGAAAAGGAAGTGACGATGTCTGGTACAGAGGCAAGTGTTTCAAATTTTGTATTGCCCGAAATTAATCAAAAGGTAATTTTGAGAAACGTCAAGAAAAACCAACGTAAATTGAAAAACAATTAAAGACACAACTAGAAACGCACAAAATCAATCAATAGATGATTCCAAGAAACGTCTCGTCCTCTACATTGACCAATCAAAAGTACTGTCTGGCCCTTTGCTCCAAGCACTCCAACTCCGATGAGTGCTATTGAACTGAGCAACCGTGCATTTCATCGCACAGCGGCACCTACACCGGTAGTAGACGCAATCAACGGACATCAGAGCACATTATTGCGGTCCAAACTATCGTTTGCTTTCAAAATAGAGGTTTGATCCAATGAAACACCCACGTGACCACATGGCTGAGACGCCATGTCAGCGTGAAACGCACCGCGCGCAATGAAACTGATTAACATATTCCAAGTGACTGTGAAGCTGAAAGGCGACATCATAATGAGGCTAGAGCCGGGCACTGTCATCTCACATTAATTACACAGGAATGATCAGTCACCACGTAACCTTCACTGAACGGCTCCGTGAGGGCCAGGTTGGATCATGTGGAGCCAACTGGTGGCCTTGCAGACGCCCATTACTTTCAACGTGCAGCCGGTTCCCCCTCACTCCTCGCCCCCGCCCCACCGCCGGTCGGCCAAACACGGAAGCTTCTCCGCCCCGACGTCTGGTGCCGGTAGGCGACGGCAGTTGTGGTCACGCTGCCTCTGAAATCACGGGCGAATATCATGAAACGCACACGGTCTCACGAGGCGATGAGAAGAAAGCCCTGTCTGTGTTGGTTTTGGTTTTCGGGCACTTGGCGCTGTGCCAACTTCCTCGGACAACTATGGCGCTTGCCCCTGCCCATTTGGGAGTGCCCAAAGCCTCAGGACAGCGATGCAGTTTCACGTTCAATTGGGGGCTTCATCCCTCTTCAACTCATGTTGCGAAACCACATTCCTGCCTCATGGATTTCCTGTTCTGCTCGGAGCACAGTGGGACCCAGTCACTGGCACCGGAACCACTTGGATTATCATCAGCTTGTGGAGTTATTGGCCATGAATGACTTGTTGTTAGCCGTTAGCCCTTAGCTACCATGAGTTGTCAGTGGAGCTCACCTTTTGATTTTTGCGGAACGTGGTCTTTGTAAGCTATAGATAAGCAAATACCCCAACTAGATATTTGCTGTCACTGGAAAGTACGCTGACACGTCGTGTCCTCAACGAAGCCTCATCCTCAAATGACGTGGCTGCCCATTTATCCGGGAGAAGCCGTGTACAGCGGCCATCTGTGGCTCATGTGCCCCCCCCCCCCCCAACCGGCGTCCACACACACCTGGTATAGCGGCGCATGCGCGGTCTGCGGGCTAAGTCTCGGCGGAGGACTGCCAGACGTCAGATGCATGTAGTCCCGCCCCACCGCCGTCCGCTCTCCTTCACCCTGTAGCCTTAAAATGGTCATTCGCGTCGAAAGGCCTGACAGAAGAAAGGCGTTGTGAATC